GAATCGGGGAGCTCACCAGCCGCATCGGGGGGCTCATCATCCGCATCGGGGAGCCCACCGTCGGGAGGCTGCGGCTGCGTGAGGAACCGTACCGCATCCTCAACCGTCTTGCATTTCTTGTAGCCGTAGCCGTTCAGGCCATTGCTCCTTGGGAACTTTGCAAGTACATAGCCGTTCCTGTGGTGGACACCCTTAGGCAGATCAGGCAATCGATCTCGCTTCTGTTGCTCATCGAACCCCATTGTCCTCATAGTGTGAATTGCCGCAGCCAAAGACCCGGGCTCGTACGCAACGAAGAGGTTGTCACACGGATGAATTGGCCTCAGAACATCAATGTGAACATCCCTATCGTGCACTACCACCTTGAGGCACATGACACCAGGATCACGCCTCATGTCAGCCTTCTCGGCGTGGGTCCTCACCAGCTTCGTTTGCTTCGGTGGCGTTTTGAATAGAGAGGCCTTTGCCTGGGTTTGCTCCTGCTTGAGCTCGCCCGACTGCTTCTCATTCCGTTGGGCGATCAAAGACTTCAGCCCCCTGCTCAGAACCGCTGCCTGCTGCTCCAGCCCACGTGGGAGGTCATCGTTCTTATAAGCCAGAAGGCTGTTCAGTGTATACTGCGCAGGTGAGATTCGGACAAACGTGCCATCGCCGACAGTAGCCATATCACATGGCTTGTACATCCGCCAAACTGGCTTTATCCCCTCCAGCTTGACGGTGCGAGAAAGTTCAAGCGTTGCGTTCTGCATTATGCTAACAGCAAAGCGTGATGCTATATCCCTGGTCGTTTGAGCCCAACGGCTGGGGCTCGATTGCATCCTAGAAAGGTGACGCGACGTGGACGACGTCATTAGGAGGGGGTGATGTGGGGGGCCGCCCCATGAGATGAGCGAGAGAGGCCACGGAGCCAGGAGAAGGAGGAGGGAGGGGGTGATGAGAACGACGACACATGCGACTGACACTTAGGCTCATCTGCACCGCATGGCGCATCAACTCGTTGGTATGGACAGTCCTCGAACGCTCGGGGGCTGGCCAACAAGGGCCACAAATACCTGCATAAGTATGGCATGGCATAGCATATCGGGAGCACTGCAGGGTGAACCCAAGAGGGCCGCTCGCATGGCATCACATAGCATGTCAGTTGCCACCCGGTGCCATTCGCCCCGCGGTTGGCTGTCTTCGCATGCCCCCTTGCAATATATGCATGACGGCCTCGCCGAAGCGAGACTGCACCTTATATTATCGCGTTCTCGTTCTCTCGTTCTGTCTGTGACATCCCCATCATCATCGCCCCTCCTCGCACACTGGTGGAAACCGCCGACCTTTTTTGGATGCTTGTTTGACCTGATCCCCCCCCCCCTTTCCCCCCTCTTGCGCGCCCTCGTTCGGCGCCGCCCTAGACACAAAGACGCGGCTAAGGGAAGACATGACCATTGGGGGCAACAGTGGGGGCTCACGGGCTTGAGGGAATGTATGATGCGGACGGTTGCATGCCAAAGGGCTGTGGGCGACCAGTCAGGATGAGATTAGCAAATGCTGACCTCCCACCGCATCTCGCTCCACACTCGCCATGTTTTTCTCTGTCGGTGCAAGGGCGATTGTCCACAAAGACTGCGTCAACTGCCTGATAAGCGCATGGCTGGTAAACCCGTTCGCACGCAAAAGAGATATGTCCGACATCAAAGCTTCGTGCTAGCCGACGGGGCAACAGCTCGACCTCTACCCTCATCCTCGCTCCTCCTTGCTCTCCCCTGCTACTGCGCGGCAGCATGTGACTGCGGCACTGCAGAGTGCAGGGATGCTCTGGACTAGAACTCGAGAACCTACAAAAGTGCAATGCAAAACACACCCCTCTGTAGACTAGCACCCGTGGCTGATGGGTGCTGTTCAAGCCCTCTTCTGCTTCTTGACGGCCTGCTCATGGATTGGCAACTCCTTAGCCTTGGGCTTGGCGAGCATCTGGAGCTTCACATTGGGCCCGATGTCGGTATTGTTGACCAGCACTGGCAACATTAAGCCGCCGTGTGACACGTGGCTCGTAGCCATGTTGGCTTGCTTCTTGTCGTAGGTTGGCGCGAACCACCAGTGTGCAGCCACCAATGCGGTTTCATCGAACTGGGTGCTGGTGTCATTGTCTTGCGGCTTAGATACAGGCAACGCAAAAAAAGTGAACCTTGTTGTCTTTGTCAATCGCATGCTCGCCAAGTCAAATGCCAGACCCATTGTTCTTCGCACTTATGTTGATGAGTGGTACCACTGGGACCAAAGTGAGCTGGCCCTGCTTGATCGCGCTAGTAGTCCACACCCCATCTGGCTTCCGCCAGAACGTCAGCTGATGCTTGCCCACGTGCTTGGCATCTAGCTCAAGGAGAGCTCGGTACAACGCAGCCTTCTGCTTGTCGATGTACAGCTGCTGCGGGCGCTGCTGATCACCATCCATCTGTTTTGACAGTGCGGCCTTAGAGATTGACCACTTCTGAATAAGATCCTCAAATGTAATCTCAGCCGTGTGTGCCTCTCGGCTCGCGTCGTGGTTAACAGCTTCGCGAAGCTTGACAGTCTGGCCGATGCTGAAGATAGTGGAAAGCCTCTGGGCTGCAACGTCCTTCTGGACTACTAGGCACCCGACCGAATACCCAGCCTTCTTGGCAATCCATGTCGGGTCCTTATGGTCGCTGAGCGTCGCCGTGCTGGATGCACTCGGCTTCGCTTTGGCAGCGGCTGCAGCGCCGCTCGAGACCGCATGCTTAGACCACTCGTCGAACGTTACCGTCTGACCCTTGAGGTCGCTGAGGCTGGCCAGAAATGAATTGCATATGTCGCCCCACTTAAGCTCCTTGCCCTCCCGACCCATCTTCTCCTTACCTGTGAGCATCAACGCAATCCTCACGAATAACTGCCCTAATGGCTGCAACGCCGCATCGATGCCATCGAGCCCCCTGGCGATATCCATGGCTTCGCTAAGAATGCTTTCAGCAGTATTTGCTTCAGCCATATTAGGCTTGCTAGCAACCTTCGTGACGTCGTTCTTCACAAGCAAGCGCGCCACACCGTCCCCAACCTTGTCGCCCGTGAGGTTTGCAATTGCAAGTGCCACCCGAATCAAAGGGTTGGTTTTCGGTGCGAAAGCTGTGTTCGTAATCGATTCCCAGAAAGCCTGCCCCAACGTAGCGTTGCAACCAAATTGCTTGCAACCGAGTCCATGAACGACACGAGAGGAGCGCCATCGCCACCGCCGAAATTCTCAACAAACTCAAGCAATGTTTTGCTGTACTTTGCGCTCGGTATGTTGAGCGAAACTACGTTCTCGATAGCCATGGCTTTCCAATCCGCAACCTGGCGCATCCCTGGGTCATTAGCAATCGCCGCCAACGTCATGCAGGTCTCCAGCTCCCCTACCTCCGTGCCGATGTGGTTCTGAGTGTTTAAAGCCTTCTGGGCCACTGAAGCGAAACCTGGGGGCAGTTCGTCAATGATACTTGGGACCACCTCCCACGCCCAGCCTTTCTCGATCATGGCTTTGAATTGCGCATTCTGGGGCAACTTCTGCACGTCAATCGTATCTGAATGGGCCATCTGCAATGACTTCTCCGACGTCCTGCCCTGCGCCCCTGCCAATTTGCAGAAAGCCGTGGTGTGTCCACGCCCGACTGTAACGCACCGCTCGGAACCATTAACTGGCGCTAGAAGCCCATCGGCTCTGTCCACCAGCACCTTGTTCTTAGCAGCGTGCTGCCAACGGGCGGGCGAATTGACTCCAAGCTCGATGCACACGGCATTTGATAGCTGGCGCATGTCGGCACCAGCTGCGTGGATCCGAGCAGCATTGCGATGCACATTGTGCGGGCGCAGAAGAAGCCCTCCACGGTTCGCACTTCGTGCGAGAAAAAATTTCGGCTCGATGCTGCTCACGGCGTACGCCAATTTGTGTGCCCGAAGGCAGGTCATCAGCATATCCATATGCTCGTTCGCCTTCGTCTTTTTCAAATTCAAAATCTTCTGGAACTCCGTTTTGAAAGCTTCCGTAAGCTGAGACGTAGCTGAAGAAAGCTGCTGGAAGCTATAGCGACTGCTTTAGGCCGAAAATTCTGCAACTACGGATGGTAGAATGCAACTGCACAATCACAAAATAGTTCTCGAAATCGTCGTGTCCAATGCTCATACCTTTTATCCACACTTCAATGTTGAACATCTGCTCTGCATGCTGATGTTGAGTCCTCCGAACGATCCCGGGGTAAAGCTCACCATTTTTTTTCAGAGCTTGTTCACCGACAAATGGGTTCTGACGTGTTCTTTGGATTCCCAACATGAGCTGGGTTTGCAAAGGGAGCTATGTTTGGTTGGCAACGGGAGCTATGTTTGGTTCGAAAAATGTCAACGTGGGAGCTATGTTGAAACGTGGAGATATGTTCATGTTGGGCCTTTGAGAAAAACGAAGTCAACATTTGTCGGACAAAGTTTTCATGGTAGCCTATTCTGAGCATCATGTTAGCCTATTCGAAAATTTATGTTACTTTAGCATATTTGTTTGAACTTCAAATTTTTCAAAAAAAAACTATGTTAAACTAACATAAACAGTTATGCTAACATGAGATAAATGAGTTATCACAGTTATCATACTTATCCAACATAAACCATAAACTATTTAGCAACTGATAAACCTTTATGCATCTTATGTTGAATTAATAAAAACCACGCTGACTTTAGCTAACTATGATAAACCAGCTTACTACCTACAGCAGCTTGTTGCTGATTTGTGAGAGGGTTGTATGAACGTTGTAACAACCTTAGCAACTCGCTATAAAGCTCATAAGCTTTAACAAAGCCGACAGTCATCTCAGTACTGGTAGAGGCTCAGAGCGTCGCAGAGAGGCGCGCGGTGGCCGCCCAGCCGCGGGGCTACCGGGCGGAGCTGAAGGACAACATGCCGGCTGCACAGGCCTTCGCAGCTGGATCTTCTCGAGGTCGGGCGCCCAGAGGACTCGCCCCTGGGCCGGGCCATGGAGGAGGGGAGCGGCGCCGTCTACCGCGTGGGCCTCTGGAACAAGCACGACTTCCAGAAGGCCGGCGCGGTGGCCCGGGCCAAGGCGCCCATCGAGGCCTGGAGGCCCCGGCGGGCCCGCGCCCCCCCGCCATGCGCGCCCTCCTCTATCCCGCAGGCCTTGAACCAGAAGAGTGGCCAGCAGATCGCGAGCTCGAAGAAGAAGATAGCCCGGGGCACCAAAGTCATGGACAACGCGATCGCGGTCGGCCTGCGAGCGCTGCGTCTGGGGCGCGAGTTCAGTCTCGAGCAGCCCGCGAACGCCGCCAGCTGGAGGGCCGCGCAGCCGCCGACGAATCTTTGAAAGCAGCTGTGCGAGGTCACCGCGGCAGGTTGCGCCTGGGGCATGCGCGGCAGTGAAGCGGGCCAGGGCGCGCGCGAGAACTGGAGGTTCCTCGTGTCCTACCCGCGGGCAGCTGACGTCCTAGAGCGGAAATGCCTTCGCGGCCGCGAGCGCCGGCAGCTGGAAGGGTCCAGGCGGGTCGCCGACTCCGCCAAGTACCCGGGCGCCTTGTGCCGAGCTCTCAGCCGGGAGGTGCTGGCCCATGCCCTGGTGTCCGGGATCACCGCTGGCGCGAGCGAGATCGAGGGCGCGCTGAAGGAGCTGACCGAGGGTCACGTCAAGCAGGCCGAGGTCATGGCCATCGAGAAGGATACCGAGACAGGGGACCCGACTGACGAGTTGAGGAAGTCGGCGCGCCTCAAGCTCCAGCGGCTACACTCGCAGCTGGGTCAGCAGCCCGAGCTGTCCACGACGACGCCAGGCTCCCGGTTGGGTGAAAGAGGGGGCCGGAGAGCTGAAGTGCGCCGCCTGCGAATGGTTCCAGAAGCAGCCCATGCGTCCTGCGGCGTCGGGGGGACTGGCGGCCCCTCTGGGCGTCCTCGCGATGGACGGGCACGACTGGGTCCATCCCTTGTCAGGGGCCCGGGCGCGCGGCACGCTCCTGGCGGGCGAGGGCAGCGCGAAGGCGGTGGCCCGCGTGCGCGCCGCTCAACCAGATGGAGGCGGACGCGGCAGCACCAGCGCATGTGAGGCCTGGGGCACCTGCGTGCGCTGTTGGGCCCAGTACTTCGGAAACCCGCAACGGATCCGCGCCGGCCCAGCAGGAGAGTTCGAGGCCCACGCGAACAAGGAGAGGGCCGCCCGGCACGACACCCAGTGGGGGTCTGCGCCAGGAGGAGCGCATTGGAGGACGGGCAAGGTGGGGTCCATCATCATGCTGGTGAGGAACGCGGCCGCGAAGCTGGCCCGCGTGGGCCCGACGCGCAGCACCGACGAGCTCTTCGCGCGGCGGCCGCCTGCGACGAGATGCCGAATGGCTCAGGATTCAGCCCGGGCCAAATCGTCCTCGGACGCCGCCTGAGACCCCTGGGCAGCGAGAGGGGGCCCGCTCAGGGTCAGCCGCGGTGGAGGCCACGCGACCACGTCTCTCAGCCCGCTCGGCATGCGCGGAGTCTGGCAGATCGCGAGGCCCGATTGACAGCGGCGAAGCGCGCCCGGGCGCAGCGGGAGCGCGCCGCGGGCGACTGGGCGCGCGTTTGGCGCCGGGCGGGCGAGACCGACAAGGATAATAACAAGACGTCCAAGGGAGGCTGCGTCGGGCCAGCGACGGTGCTCGCTCATCTGCGGCAACCGCTGGAGGAAGGGCGCCTCCGGAACGTGGTGATGCTGGCATTTCGGGGGCAGGTCCTTCGAGCCGCCCCGCAGCAGCTGCGCCTGGCGTCCGACGCTGAGCAGACCCTGATCGAGCTGGACACGGAGACTCGGGACCCTTTGCGCCAGCGCACGGACCAGGCTCTGAAGAGACTCTCCCGCGTGGTGGACGTCACAGGCGAGCCCGACTGCGACCAGCTGGGGGATCCAGCCAACGCCGAGGTGCCACCCCCGGCGGTGGGTTCGAAGGTGGAGCCGGGCATGCCGCTGGACGAGGGCGTCTCCCGAGGCACAGAGACACCGCCACCAGATGCCCCGATGAGGTCGGGGCCGGAGCAGGAGCGGCCGGTGAGCGAGCCCTCTCCAGAGCGTGGAGCCGAAGCAGCTGAAGAAGACGGAGGAACACCACCGCCGCCGGCGAGGCCCTGCGACCTGCAGAGAGACGACCTGCCCTTCAGCATCAGGCAGCGGCTCAGCGAGATGCGAGGCGGCCCTCGAGATCCCCCCCTGGGGCCCGAAGCTGAACGACTTGCCCCTCTCGGAGAAGTTCGGCCCCGAGGGGGGGTCGAGAACGAGGATGGCCCGGCGCCGACGAAGAGTCGCGAACAGTTCGACATGGAGGACGTCTTGGCCTCCCTCTCAGACGAGTCCTGAGCCTGCGAGGTGCACGTCGACCTCCCCGGAGACCGACAAGAAGGCCTGGCGCAGGTTCGCACGGGCGCCTTCGGCCTACGCTGCCGCCGCCGCGAAGAAGTGTAGCCCGAATGTGATCCTCCGGAAGCTGGGCCACACCATGAGGGAGCAGTTCCGTGCTGCCAAGAACGCTGAGATCAACGGCTGGCTGGCCGACCAGGTGACTGCGGCGGCCAAGAGAGCGGACGCCGGACCCAGAGGGCCGATGAGAATGCGCCGGCACCTCGTGGTGAAGTCGGACGGAAGGCCAAGGCCTGGATCGTGCTCCTGGGCTTCGAGGATCCGCGGCTGGGTCGCATGAAGACGGCGAGGTCGACAGAGTCCGTCAGGGCGATGAACCTCGCTTACCAGGTCTGTGCGAACGAGGGCCTGCGCCGCCACGAGTACGACGTGAAGGCGGCATTCCTACAGTCCCAGAGTTCCGACGCTGGCATTTTTGCGGGGCCCGTCTGCGAGTTGCGCGAGGCCGTGGACTTGCAGGAGGACGAGGTCGTGCTGATGTTCAAGAAGGCCCACGGCCTGTGCGACGCCCCGAAGGAGTGGTGCGACGAGGTCGCCAGGCGCATGGCCGAGTCTGGCTGGATCGCTATGAAGCTAGAGCCGTGCGTGTGGACTTTGTACGACAAGGGCCGTCTGGTCGCCGCAGCGTTCGCGCGCTTGGACGACTTCGTGTTGGGCGTTCGGGAGAACAACGACGACGTGGCGAAGAAGACGCGCGAGGAGCTGCGCAATGCTGGCAGTGGGGCTCCTGGGAGACTGGGTGCTTCAGGCAGACGGGCGTGGGCGTGGTGCAGTTGTCCGATTTCTCCATCTCGCTCTCCTTCGCCGCCGCCGCCGCCGCGAAGGTGGGGATGATCGAGGGTGGAGCGGGCGAGCGGGGCGCGCTGGCGACGCCCTGCTGGCCCCGGGAATCGCCGCGTGCAGCGCGGCCACTGGCGGCCTGCAGTGCCTGGCATCACAGGGCCAGAGCCTCATCGCTGCAGACGCCAGCATACTTCCGCAATGCACTGATGCCGCAGCATATGGGCTGGCCATGCGCATCAGCAAGGTGATCCGCACGGCCCGCGAGACCGCCCGCGTGCCAGTGCGATTTCGCGCAGTCAAGGGCCCGATCTCCATCGCCTTCCCCGACGCGGCCTGGTCCGTCAGGAAGGGCGGGAAGTCGCAGGGGGGCTGCGTCATCGGGGCGGGCGAGCGAGCGTTGCTACGCGGAGAGAGCCGCGCCATATCCCCATTGCAGTTCACCTCGAAGAAGCTCCCACGGCCGTGCAGTCGGGGGACATGTGCCGCGAGAGCCTGCCCTACATGCGCATGGCGTGGACGGAGCTGATGCAAGGCGGGATTAACCTGGAGGACGTCCGAGGGTCATTTCAGCTCGCGCAGGCGACCATGGTCACCAACTGCACGTGACTGTGCGACGCCATGGCGCGCTGCGCGAGCGCCGGTCTGGGCGCGGATGACCGCCGCTCATCGCTCGAGGCGCTCGGCCTCCAACGAGCGATGGAAGAAGGGGCCCTGGCTCGGGGCGACTGGCCTCCAGTGCAGGGCCCGACCTTCACCTCAGCCAAGAAGCGACGTCAACGCGGCCGCGAGGACAGCTTGGACGACGGAGTCGAGCGAGAGCCTTTCTTCCCAATGGCGAGCCCCGACGATGACCTGGGCGACTTCGAGGTGCTGGCTGAGGATGACAAGTACTAAGACGATTGGCAGTGCGATATAGCCGTGACGACCTCCCCGTGTGAATCAGGTAAGACACGATAGGTGTGCAGAGAGTATAGAGAGTTTGTCTCGTCTTTGCTTTTGTTGCGTGTTATGCATCGCTTTATATTTGCAGCTATTTTGGAGCATGCTACGGCCCTAGCTAGAGGGCAATAAAGAAAGCGCGTCACCGTGACCGGCGCTTCGAGAAAGTACTGACATCACATTTGCACTGACATGCTGATCGTAGTTGTGGTGGTATCGATTGGAATATGGGTAGCGGTAGTAGTCGAATTAGCCGTACTAGTAGTAGCAGAAGTAGTAGCAGTGGTATTAGTAGTAGTAGTAGTAGTAGTCGTCGTCGTCGTCGTCGTCGTAGTAGTAGTAGTAGTAGTAGTAGTAGTAGTCGTAGGAGTAGTAGTAGTCGTAGTTGCGGTCGTAGTAGTAGTCGTAGTAGTAGTAGTAGTAGTAGTAGTAGAAGTAGAAGTAGACGTAGTAGTAGTGGTAGTTATAGCAGTAGTAGTAGCAGTAGTAGTAGTAGTCGTAGTCGTAGTAGTAGTAGTAGTAGTCGTAGTAGTAGTAGTAGTCGTAGTAGTAGTAGTAGTAGTCGTAGTAGTAGTAGTAGTAGTCGTAGTAGTAGTAGTAGTAGTAGTAGTAGTAATAGTAGTCGTAATCGTAGTAGCCGTCGTAATCCTAGTAGTAGTGGTGGTAGTAGTCGTAGTAGTCGTAGTGGTGGAAACAGTAGTAGTAGTAGTAGTAGTAGTAGTAGTGTAGTAGTAGTAGTAGTAGTAGTCGTAGTAGTAGTAGTAGTAGTCGTAGTAGTGGTAGTAGTAGCAGTAGTATTCGTAGTCGTAGTAGTAGTAGTAACTAGTAAGTAGTAACTAGTAAGTAGTAAGTCGTAGTCGTGTTAGTGGTAGTCGTAGTAGTAGTGGCCGTATTAGTAGTATTTGTGGTGGTAGTAGTACTAGTAGTTGAGTTGTGTAGAAGTAGTAGTGGCGGTGGTCGTAGGAGTAGTAGTAGTAGTAGTCGTAGTTGTCGAAGTAATCGTCGTAGTAGTGGTGGCATTGGAAGTTGTAGTAGTGGTATTAGTAGAAGTAGTAGTAGTAGTAGTTGAAGTAGTAGTAGTAGTAGTAGTAGTAGTCGTAGTAGTAGTAGTAGTAGTGGCAGTAGTAGTAGTAGTAGCAGTCGTCGTCGAAGTAGTCGTCGTACTAGCAGTAGTAATAGTAGTGGGAGTATCAATCGTAGTATTACTGCTACTCGTATTCGCAGTAGTATTGCTGGTCGGAGTAGTGGTATTGGTGATATTAGGTGTAGCCGTAGTAGTAGGAGCAGTAGTAGTAGTAGTAGTAGTAGTAGTAGTAGTCGTAGTCGTAGTCGTAGTAGTAGTAGTAGTAGTAGTAGTAGTAGTAGTAGTTATAGTAGCAGCAGTAGTAGCAGTAGCAGTAGCAGTAGTAGTAGTAGTAGTAGTAGTCGTCGTAGCAGTAGTAGTAGTAGTAGTAGTAGTAGTCGTAGTAGTAGTAGTAGTAGTAGTAGTAGTAGTAGTAGTAGTAGTTTTGTCGTAGTCGTAGTCGTTGTCGTCGCGGTGGTCGTAATAGTTGTAGTAGAAATGATATTAATAACAAGAACAGCATTATTATTAGTAGTCGTAGTAGGGAAGCGACTGGAACCGGGGGGGTATCCAAGACTCAATTCCGGAGTTAAGTCGGCCCGATTCGGCGGTTAAGGCCACCCCGCGGAACACTTAACCCCGGAGTTCAGTCGCCGCCAAGCTGGCGGACGCACCAGCTATTGCACGAATTAGCTCCGGAGTTAAGTGATTCCCGCGCCGCGCGCCCCAGCCAGGCGCGGACTTAACTGCGGAGTTAAGTCGCCGCGGCATTGGGTTGGGCGCCGCGACGATTGAGAGGGCAGGAAGTGGAAGGAGGAGGAGGAGGAGGGCGGCGACGAGGAATACGAGGAGGAGGAGTCAGGAGGACGAGGAGGAGGAGGAGGACAAGCTAGGTGCGCTCGCGTCATATCTGACATCCTACCCCTCCCTCCCATTCCTTACCATGGCGTAGACCCCCTCTCTACTCGTGCAGTCGGATGCCGGCCAAGGCAATGATCCCGAAAGGGTACGCGATGCATTGTAGAGCGCGGCATGGCATGGCGTAGAAGAGCACCGCAAAGCGTAGCGTGTCACAGCATGGCGCGGCGTGGCGCAGCGAAGAATTGCATCGCGAAGCTTTGCAGCGCAAAGCATGGCATCGCACAGCGGCCCCGAACATAACATTGCATGGCATGGCGTTGAAGATCTAAGCGCAGCATGGCATAGCGCGACGCGGCACTTGAGCGCTGCATGCCACCGCTTCAGTTGAAGGAATGGCATCGCGCAGCGGAACGCAACCTAGCATTGCGTCGCATGCCGCGGCGCGGCGCGGGAAATGACGCCACCGCTGCAGCGGGGTCACGATTCGGAACGAGCGGAAGCATGGACATGGGGTCATCGCTGCAGCGGGGACGCGATTCGGAACGAGCGGAAGCATGAACATGAGGCCAGCGCTGCAGCGGGAGCACGATTCGGAACGAGCGGGGCCCGAAAATGAGGCCAGCGCCTCAGCGAGAACAGCATTTTGAAAACAAATGCAGGCGAAAACCCAACCCCGGGAAATCCCGCGTGGAAAAAAAAGGCACGGGGGGGGGGGGGGGCGAACGCTCCCAACCCGTCATCAGGGGAAGGAGGAGAGTAGCATTCACATTGAATAATTGTGGGGGAGGAGGGGGGGCATCAGGGCACGGGGGGCCGAACGCCGCAGCGCCAAAACAAATTCGGCGAATCAGAAACCCGCGAAGCGGCCGCTGGGCGGCGGGGAAGTTGAATCGCAAGACGCGGCCCCGAAGTCCCGTCGCTGCATTCCCGCGAATCAAGGGGGGGCGACGAGGGGGAGGAACACATGGGCCAAGCTCCCCGGGGTCAAGCGGTCGCGCGTTCAGCTCGCAGGGAACGGGGGGGCGGGAGGGAATGGGAGGAGGAGATGGAGGCATGCGCGAGGCGCATCAAGATTCCTGCGCTTGCAACGTCATCCCGCGCACCCCGCGGCGCACAATATCACGGCGCAGCCGTGTAATGTTGCCGGCGAACCTTTGGCGCAACGGAATGCGCTGCTGCACCTTATCCCGCGCGCGGACAAGGCCACCTGCGCGCAACGTGGCAGGTCATGTTCGCGCGCAACGGAGGAGGATGAAGGGGGCGAGGCGGAGGAGGAAAGGAAGAGGATGGGACATGAGCAGGAGGAGGAATAAGAGGATGGAAAGGGGGATGATGAGGGAGAATTTGTGGTGCCACTTGGCAACTTGAGCAACGTGCAACCGCGTCGCATGTTGCCGTTAGTGCCACACCCACCGTCGGCCCCTGGTCGACGCGGGGGGCGGGGGGGCACCCGCGGGGGGGCCAGGGCCTGCGCGCGCGCAATAATAACGGAATGTCCGCGCAGCATATGCGCAGTGTTGCGCGCGCGTGCACGCGGGGATGTGGATGCGCGCGTTCTCTTCCACGCTCCCCGCGCGCGAGCGGCTGCAAGCGCAGTTCGAAGTGCGATCGCCACAGCAATCGACTATGGCAATGCAATCGGCGGCGGCGGCAGCGCGGATGCGCGAGGGGGCGCGCGGTCGCGACAGGGGGGCGGCGACGACGACAGCGACGACGACGACGACGACGCGGAAGGTGGAAGGCAAGATAACGCGCGCGAGCGCGACTGCGACTGATACCTCTGCCCGCCACGCGCCCAGGTCGCCGCCGAGCTCCACCTCGCCCCCGCCACCCCCCCTCCTTTTCACGCGGGCGCGACGCGCGGGCTGCTTCCCACCAGTCGCAAAGCAAAGCTACGGAATGAGCGAGGTGCACCGACAACGACGAAGCATGCGCAGAGTCTTGGAAAATAATCAAAATAAGACACGCTTCGGTGCTCGCCGACCTCCGCCCCCCCCACCCCCTCCTGCCCGACTACGCAGGCCCTGGGCGCTGGATCCGCTCTCACTTCCGGCGCCTCTTCGGGGATGGCTCGTTGCCTGGCCTGGCGTCGGGCCCGCCGGTGCCGCCGCCGTCGCCCGGGGGGGCTTCCGGGGGGGCGACGCCGCCGTCGCCCGGGGGGGCGCCCGCCGGCTCCGCGCCGTCGAAGCGCAGCTGGTCGAAGCTGCAAATGCGGACGGCGGGCCGCCACCTCGGCGCGACCAGCGGGCGCGGAGCGGGCGATGGCCGGGGCCAACTGCGACCCCCCCCCCCAGCAATATATGCTGGAAGCTTTAAAATTTGCCAGCGTGCTAAACCTTCCAAAATAAATCACCGAGGGCCCCAGTGTCTCGAGGTGCGTCGGCCAAGCCCGACTGAATTTGGCGATAGTACGCGAGGCGACCAGTGGCGGGCGGCGCGCGGCGCGAGGGCCCGCGGCCGCCGCAGCGACGCGCTCGGCACGCTCGAATCCATGGCAAACTAAGCCAGCCGCAACGACCTGTCGATGCACGTGGGCGGCTCGATGTTGCGGCAGTAGGCGTCCACGCCGCCCTCGACGTCAGAGATAATGACCTCGGGCGCAAGCGGAGCGGGGAGGGGGGTCTCGCGCGCCCCCGCCCCCGGGCGCGCCCGACGCCGCGCGCGCGCGCGCGAATCGCAGAGCCCGCGAGAACCCTGCCGGCGGCGCCCGCCCGCGGCGGGCCGATCGGCGCCCGCCGGCCAGCAAGCGCTAAGACGGCGACGATCGGCCCCATCAAGACCGCGGCGCACGCAGTGGCCGCCAAGTGGTTCGCCCAGGAACCGGGCTTCCGCATGTGCGCGACGTGCGCGTCCACGTTGGGGAACTGAGCTCTGTTGCGGGCGTTCTCGAACGTGCCTGGGGGGCTCGCGATCCAGTTCGTGGCTGGGGGCGACGTTTTTCAAGCGCAGGGGCCCGCGCGGGCGCGATGAAACTCAAACCCCGCCTGCAGGCCCCCCCCCCGGCCGCTCGGGCCCAGCTGGCGGATAGATGGCGGGGGCAGGGGGGGGGTCCGCCAAGCGGAGGGCAGTCCTTCAGCTCGCAAGCCCTCGGCGGCCAGGCCGACCTCCTCGCCGCCCCTCCTGAGTGTCTCGATCAGCGCATGGAAGAGACGCGCCCCGTCGCCCAGCGCCCCGACCGCCTGCAATGTCAACTCTGGGACAGCGAAAGGCGCGGAGCACCCCGGGCCGCCCCGCCCCCGCCCCATGGTTCTTAACCCGAGCGCAGGGGGTGGTCTCCGAGCGCGGCGTCTATGCGGGCCATGGCGCAGGGCGTGGCAGGTGTGGCACTTTCCTCGCCCCGTAGGGGGTGCGCAGGGGGTGGTCCCCGAGCGCGGCGTCTACGCGGGCCATGGCGCAGGGCATGGCAGGTGCTGCGCTTTCTCGACCTCGTAGGGGGTGCGCAGGGGGCGGTCTCCGAGCCCGGCGTCTACGCGGGCCATGGCGCAGGGCGTGGCAGGTGTGGCACTTTCCTCGCCCCGTAGGGGGCGCGCAGGGGGTGGTCCCCGAGCGCGGCGTCTATGCGGGCCATGGCGCAGGGCATGGCAGGTGCTGCGCTTTCTCGACCTCGTATGGGGGTGCGCAGGGGGTGGTCTCTGAGCGCGGCGTCTACGCGGGCCATGGCGCGGGGCGTGGTTGGCGCGGCACTTCCTCGACCTCGTAGGGGGTGCGCAGGGGGTGGTCTCCGAGCGCGGCGTCTACGCGGGCCATGGCGCAGGGCGTGGCAGGCGTGGCACTTTCCTCGCCCCGTATGGGGGTGCGCAGGGGGTGGTCTCCGAGCGCGGCGTCTATGCGGGCCACGGCGCAGGGCGTGGCAGGTGCGGCACTTTCTCGACTTCGTAGGGGGTGCGCAGGGGGTGGTCTCCGAGCGCGGCGTCTATGCGGGCCATGGCGCGGGGCGTGGCAGACACGGCGCATTCTCGACACCACCGGGGGTTTGCAGGGAATGGTCACCGAGCGGGGCGCTCATGCGGGCCATGGCGCAGGGCATGGCAGGCGCGGCATATTCTCGACGCCACAAGGGGTGCGCAGGGGGTGGTCTCCCTATCTGTTGCGGCCTCGCAAAGTGTGGCAGGCGTGGCACTTCCTCGACACCGCAGGGGGCGCGCTGGGGGTGGTCTCGCTATCCGTTGCGGCTTCGCAAGGCGTGGCAGGCGTGGCACTTCCTCGACGCCGCAGGGGGCGCGCCGGGGGTGGCAACGGCCGCCAACATCATTCTCACGTGCTTCACTGCAGCTATCATCACTCCAGCCATAATATTAGTATGTGGGATTCCTCGGTAGCGTAATTTTCTCACGCCCACTTCTTCGCGCAATCACTGGCATCATAAACGTGGACGCGGCCGCCCGTCGGGCACCCCTTCCCGTGACCATAACACAACGGGCGCGAGTCCGCAGGCGCGAAGTATTTACACATACGATGCCTTTTCACGCGCACGGGATCTGGGGCGCCGCCATTGGCAGGCGCAGCAACGACGGCGAGGACCGCTGGCTAGTCCGCACTACCGGCGGCAGACGAATTAGAAAGACCAGGCATAAGGCCACCGGGGGCGTCACGTAGCGACAGCGGCACAGGGCAGGCTTGCGCGCCGACGCCTGCAGAAACAGCGCTTCTAAGAGGTGATGCCGAAGACGCTGAGGACGAGCTCGACGACGAAGCAGAAGAAGACTTGGAAGGTAAACCCGAAGAAACCTCAATTTGGAGACGTTTGCGGTACTTGGTCAAGTTTTTGTTCATTCCATCTTCACTTGGAGCTTGGCCTTCTCTACCTCCAGCCTGCCGATCTTCTTCAGGATGCCGCGCGTGCCTTTCGGCATTTTGCGCGCCTGGTGATCGGCTGAAGCTGGCAAATACGACTTGTGCCAAAATGCTGACGGACGATGGGATGAGCTACGCGCCGCTATATACAGCTACTGACGACGGCGTGAATCAAGTACCGACGAGAACTGATCGCACCCCCCGACATGAAGCAACAGCGCCAGCATCAGCGCAATCGTCATTTTCGGCGTCAGCGTCATTCGTCAACGTCATCGTCAGCGTCGTCTTCGTAATCATCATCATCACCCTCATCATCAAGATCAACCAGATCATCGTCATCATCATCGTCATCGTCGTCATCATCATCAGCATCGCCATCATCATCGCCATCGTCATCATCATTATCATCGTCGTCGTCATCGTCATCATCGCTCCTCATCATCATCATGAGCACCACCACCAGCACCACCATCATCATCACCACCATCATCATCAGCATCATCACCATCATCATCATCGTCGTCATCATCATCACCCTCATCATCATCGCCACCACCACTATCATCAGCATCATCATCATCATCATCCTCGTCGTCGTCTTCATCATTGGCATCGTTATGGTCATTGCCATCGTAATCGTTATTATCATCAGCATCACCGTCATCAACATTATCATCAAGGACATCATCAACATCGTCGTCGCCGTCAGGATTGATGAACAGACGGGCATCCTGGGCATCGTCATAAGCATACGTGTCATCACCGACGTTCCGAATAGCTGCCAGGGGATCCCATTGCGGGGTCATGTGAAATCCCACGAGCCCGCTGGGCGCAAGTACGATACGGGGTCATATATCCCCTCCTCCTCCTCGTTCCTCCTCTCCTCCTCTCTCCTCCTCGTTCCCACTCCCCTTCCTCCTCCCTGCTCTTCCTCTTTCCTCCTGTATCCTCCTCCTCCTCATCATCATCTCTCCTCCTCCTCCGCTCTCCTCTCTCCTCCCCTCCTCCTCCTCCTCCTCCTCCTCCTCCTCCTCCTCCCCTCTCCCCCACCTCCTGTCTCCTCCTCCTCCTCCTCCTCTTCCTCCTCCTCCTCTTCCTCCTCATCCTTCTCCGTCTCCCCATAGACGCGATGCTTCAAACATGCGCGTGTCTGCTACGCAGTGCTGTGCTATGATATGCGATGCTACGCAATGATATGCTTCAAACACCAACGCAATGCCATGCTATGATATGGAATGCGATGCTATGCAATGTTGTGACGTGCTATGCAGTGCTATGCTATGCGGTGATGCAATGCTATGCAGTGCTTTGCTTTGCCATGGCTATGCCGTGCTATGCTTTAATATGCTATACAGTGTTATGCTATGATACGCTATGAAGTGCGATGGAGGAGGCGGCCACTACCTTGACTACCATTGAGGTCAGCCCAGGCGGAGGGCGGCGGAAAAGTAACGGAAAGACTGCGGAAAGGGCGGCGGAAGGGTGGCGGAAAGGCGGCGGAAGCGTGGCGGAAAGGGCGCGGCGGAAGGGCGGCGGCAGGGCGGAAGAGCGGCGGAAAGGGCGGCGGAATTGTTGCGGAAGGGCGGCGGAAGGGCGGCGGAAGGGCGGCGGAAGGGTGGCGGAAGGGCGGCGGAAAAGGCGGCGGAAGGGTGGCGGAAGGATGGCGCAACGACGGCGGAAAAACGGAAGAGGCGGCGGGGGGCGGCGGAAAAGCGTTGGAAAGACGGCGGGTTTCCCGAGCCGTCACGGAAGGATTTCCATGGAATTCTTGCAAATCCTGGAAATAGAAAGACCATAACCCAGAAATTAAGGAAAATACGAGACGCCAGGAACCCAGGAGTCGTTGAAATTCGAAGATTTCCTGGGATCCATAGAAATCAAAGAACCTATAGAACCCCCGAGCTGTAGGACATCAGAAATCCAGGCACGCGGCATGCGGAATCCAGGACTTTAGGAATCTCAAGAATCCAGAGAAACCGAGTAGTATTCCTTTAGGAATCCTTAGGAATCTCTTCGGAATCCTAAGGGGTCCTTAGGAATCCCGTCGGAATCCTTCGGATCCCCAGGAATCTGTAGGAATCCCTTGCGAATCCCCAGGACCCCCTGAGGAACCTTCGGAATCCTCACGGCCCCCTGAGGAACCGCTGGGAATCCTGAGGATTCCCTTCGGAATCATCGGGGATCCTTTGGAACCCGCAGGAACCCGTCAGGAATATCTGAGAATTCTTGGGGGTCCGGAGAGGCGGGTGCGAAATTGTGTACATAGTATGGTATTCCGATACCTTGCCCGCTCTGTCGGGGCCTCCCTTGTTCCCCCTTTTTCCTATCCATTTTCTCTCCTTGTCCCCTACCTTTTTCAATTGTCCATCGTTTTTTCTCCCCATGTCCTTCCATATTCCCTTCCTTTTTTTTCCTTCCCCTATCCTTATCCATTTTTTTCCCCCTCCCATTTTCATTCCCTTCTCCCTCCCTTTTCCCTTCCTTGTTCTTTATATGTTCCATTCATCTTCCCTCCCTTTTTCAATTTCTTTTCCCTCCCGTTTCCTCCCCAGTCCTTCCATTTTCTATCCTTTTTTGTAAATGTTCCCTCCCGTTTCCCTTCCTTGTCCTTCCTTTCCTTGCCGTTTTCCCTTCCTTTTCCTTCCTTTCCCTACCGTTTTCCCTCCCATTTTCCTTTCCTTATATTTTCCCTCGCTTTCCCGTCACTTTTTCCTATCTTTTTCCGCGTGCTGCCAAGTACTCGCCCCCGCACTTCGAGCAGCACCAGTTGCCGAAGGACCTGTACTCCCAGTGGCCGCAATCCGCACATGCGTCGTACGGCTTGCCCTGGGACTTGGTACGTTTGTCAACACGCTTGTCATTGTTTTGGTTCCAGGGCGCGCGCTTGCGCCAGGACATGGTGGCAGCACACAAGACTGGAGCAACGAGAAACAGAGAAGCACCCGCTGCACGAGTGCCGTGATTGCAAATGGCCCCTGTGGCCGCACTCAGCTGGACTCGGGCCTGCCGCACAGCTGCGGACAAGCTCGAAGCCTCGCGTCAAGGTTTCGAACTTGAGCCCAAATGGCTACGTGAGGAGGAGGAGGAGGAGGAGGAGGAGGAGGAGGAGGAGGAGGAGGAGGAGGGGGAGGGGGAGGGGGAGGGGGCGGTCGAGGATTGATGTCTTTGGACGCTGTGTGGCCCTGTTTGGATTTGGGCCTCCACAGGCCCCAGGGACCTCCAGTGACTTTGGAGGCCTCTGCACTTCTCCGGAGACCAAAACGGTTGCCTGATTGCGGCCGAGTGTTCGCCACTGTTCGTCAGCTTGGGGAAGTGTGCGTCCACCAGTGGAACTCATGGCCCACCAGAGGTCCCCGAAGGCCTCCGGAGGCATTCGGGGCCAACATATTTTCAGAACCCGGATCCTCGTCGCCGCCGCGGTGCCGCCCTTTTGGGAAGCGGGCGGCTTCTAAGAATCACTGGCGCAGGGGGGGTGACTGGTCTAGGGTCCACGGAGGGCAGCATCGACCCCCATACGACCGTTCCTCGCCGATCGAGGCCTTGTTGCCCGAACTCCCTAGGAACGTGCGGTTTGAGAGACTATCGCCGATCTATCGGCAATGTATCGCCGCCCGTAAAAAAGAGCAGGGGCCTTCTCAGAATGTCCAGGGGCCCTTCCCGAAGGCCTCCTCGCCCTCCAGGCTTCTCAGTCCGGCCGCCCTCCTCGCGCCACCCTGGTGTGCGAGCATCGCCAGGCAGCCGCAGGTGCCCCCCCCGCCCCCCGCCCGGCGGAGGCGGCAACCAGAGCGGTGCGGGCGGGAGCGCCCTTGACGCGCGCGGGCTCCTCGCGGAGACGGTCGGGCGCCGGCCGCTCATCTCGTAGCCGGGGGCGCCTTGCGGCGGCCGCCCGCCGTGCCCCCGTGGGGGCGCTGTTTCCCGGTACCGCCCAGGGTGCCCCAGGTCAGCCGGCAGGTAACGCGCTCGCGCGGTCTTGGAGGTGGCCTTCTATATATCTTGCTTGAGCGCAGCGCAGTTTATCTGATTTGGCTAACCCAGGTTTGCGCTGAGCCGGGCAAGTCCGCGCCCGATAGGGATTGAGTTTCGAGGGTCGAGGTTGATCAAGAAGGGGGAAGAGATGCCGATCCCGATGCCCGTCCCTCGTCGCCACGTCAGGATTCGCCTCGAAATTCCTGGCAGAACGCGTACTAAGAAAATTGTGGAGTAGCGGTATCGGTATTTTCGATCAATTGCGTCTTGGGCGGCGGTCCGCTGCCCCCGCAGGGTCTATTTCGATATCGTTTCTGGCTGCGTCGACCTTGGCGCAGGAGCGGCAACTCGTCAAAGGACCCTGCTTGGCAGGCGCATGCCCCCGGGCCGCAAAGCTCGCCGGCATTCTCTTCTCCGCAAGAATCGCTGGCCGTCACCTGCCGTGCAGTCTGACGGCTCACCAGCGCCGTCCGCACGTACGGGGACATATCGAGAGTGTTGCTGGAAAAATGGTTCGCGGACCAGCCCTGCAGCATCGACGGCCGACGCTGCCTGAACTGTCGCTTGGCCCCCGAGCTATTGAAGGCATGCTTGGTCGCAGCAGTCGCATTGCACCACTGGCGGCCACGGCAATCCACAACGCCAGGGATATCCCAGGAGGCGTTCCCGTCCACCACCACCGCGGGGACCTTCACCTCATTGGCCTCCACGGGTATGACAAGAGCGTCCAGTTTCTGCGCACACTCCACATGTGACCGAGCCAGCGCGCCGACCAAATCCATGTCTTGACCGACGCTTCCCACTGCAATTTGCAGTCTCAACGCGCAGGTCTCGCACAACGAGATCAGGTCTCCTAGCCTGCGGATGAGTCGGTCCAAGGTTGCCAACGCATTCGAAGAGGTCGCCGTCCTTCTCGATAGTTGCCTGCAGCAACAAAGTGGACCCTGCTATACGACGGTCGGCGGCTCAGCACCTCGCGTAAGGTAGTTAGGTTGAGCGGCTTCCGCCGCAGTCCCGCGTGCTTCGCCTTGGGGCGCACACGGTGGGCTGCCCCTTTTGCCGCCTCGCGCGCCAATGATTGATGGCCAGTCGCGACTGTCAAAGGGGTCTTGAGCGCTTGGGCAGCCGCGTAGCGCCTGGCGAACGCCACCTTTTTTGCACGGCGCCAGGGATACTGCTGCATTTGGCACTCAACGACCAGTCTTCGCGATCCGATCCAATCGCGCGATGGCTTATCGAGGCCTCTTCTACCCCTGGCGGAGACCTCCTATCCTACTTGTATCTCGCGTCCTCTGTTGTTGCTGCTGTTGTTCCCCTTCCTCATCCTGTACATTTTCTGCGCCCCCCCCCGACTGGCGCCACCGCGGCGCCAGCGGCGTTCTCCGTCCAGGACCCACCTGAGGAGGAGGCGGATGAGGGCGACGACGACGATTCAGGGACCTCCCGCTCAGGGGTGGCTGGGGGCCAGCGCGCCGCCTGTCGCGGGGATCTAGCGCCGCGGCGTCACGACACGACTCGGTCCGAGAAATGCCCGTGGGCGCGCCCCTCCCGCCACCACACTGGAAGGTTAGCTGCGTCCGCCCCTTGAAAGCCTGAGGAGTGGGGGTCCCCAGACCAGGAGAGAGCTGCAGCTTGAACTCCTGCCCGGGGCGAGAGAGCGACGGGGTCTTTTCCAAAGGGGCCCCTGGCAGCCTCGCGTGACGGGAGGTCATCGTAGGCGCGGAGGGGGGATGGGCAGTGTGAGAGGTTTTGGCTCGTCCTCGCCAGCCCCGAGGCCGTCGCGGGGCGCAGCTGCGAGGCGTTCGGAGAGGGCCGGAGCAGAGGCTCAGGCTCCTGAGGGTCTTGGGCGTCCGACGACGGGGGGGCAGGTTTTGGGCGCCCTGCAGAGCTGGGCCCCGGCGCCGGGCCCCGGGGGTGGTCCAGGCCCATCCGGGCCCCGCCGGGCCAGGCCCTTCCAGTTCGCTGCTGTGACGTCTGGTTCGGTATTTGTGCGGCCCGATGCTTGCGCAGCGTTGCGTATCCTAGCGCGGCCGATCCGCTTCGATTTCCCCTCCGTGCCAGTGCAGCTTGATCCGACGCGCACTTCGATTCGATCCTTGTCTTGGTCCAGGATCAGGGATCCAGGTTCTGGATCCGCGCGGCACGTTCTAGGATTCAGGTTTAAGGATCGAGGTGTTTCCGTGCCTTCTGTCTTTTGGGGGGGCTTCCTGAGGGCGCCTTCGTCGCCGACCGCAGCTGCCCCCGCCGTTTTCCGACCGCATCGGGCTGGATACGCGGCCTCCTCGCCCCTGGAGGGGGGGCTGGCGTGTCCGGGCAGCCTGAACCGCCCGCCCTGCACGCCGAACGTGAGGTGGCTCTTGACGGACAGGCAGCCCCGCCTGCGCCGCTCCTGTCGCCAGGAAGCACCGGGGTGACGAGGGGAGGATCTGGCGCAACGGGGGGAGGCGTCGAGCTCCACTCGTTTTTTCTTGGAAAGGGCCTGAGCCCAGGGGTCTCTTTCAGATGTTTACCTTCGGTTTCGGCTTCAAAAGGGCTGGCGAAATTGTCGGCTATAGATAAAGAAATGCGGCTCCTATCTCGGATCCTCGATCAGTAACAGTGTCCACAGACACACTTGTACGCCCTATGGAAAAACGGGGTGCGGAGCTTTTGCGCAGATTCATCATACAACATGAGATCATGAGGGCTTGCAATCTGCCGGGAAATGAATATGCATGAATTTGTTGTCTGCCCGCTCGAGGATGTGGTGGAATTATTTGTGATAAGGCACAAGGCCAAGTTCTGTAACGACATAATTTAAACAATACTGAAACTATTTAGGTATATATGTCTATATATATACATATATATATACGTGAACATGTTTAAGTTTTATTTTCCCTGGAAAGGGCGTGGGCCCAGGGTTCTCTTTTAGAGGTTCCCCCGGCGGAATTTTTCCGCGATGAAGAGCGAAGCCGAGGTGGACCGGCGAAATTGAATTTTGAGGACTTCTCCAGCGAAACGCGTTTTTTTTTGTTTTTTTTTTGTTCCCCCCCCCCCCTTTAAAAAATCCCGCTCGATAACCAACAAGGTAAATTGAGATGGTCCGTTTGTTGCGGATGTCTCGAGCGGAACGTTCGTTTTGCAGAATTTGATGAGGATGTCGCGAGCGAAACGCATGCGTTGGAGACTTCCAGGAACCTGGACGCCCAAGGATGCCTCAGGGGGCCCTGGAAGTGCGGACGCAGCTAAATTCACAAGGGATCGTGGCCCTGGGATCGTGGATCCCGCGTCCGTATCCATTTTGGCTCAAGGCTTTGGTTTCCCAGCGGAAACAAGTGGATACCGCTAGTCCGCGGCCAGTGCTCAATTTCTTCAGCGCTCCGCTGCGCGTGCCGCCCGACCACGCAGCATCTTGTCTTGTCCTCTCTATCGCCCTTGACGCTCTGTACGTTGTGTAGATGGGGTTTCACAATGGTGGGAGCAGAGATGATCGTCGGCAGAGGTGGGAGTGTCGGTGGTGTGTGCACCTCCCGACAGGCAAGCTGTGGATCAATGGAGCCGAACGCCTCGAGTGTGCTAAGTGCAAGACGTGCAAAGCTGCGGCCTTCAAGAAGAATGTGGTCTCGCAGGTGCCGTCGGTGTCCCTTCGGCCGCGTCGAAGTGGACAGGGAGGTGGCGCCGTGCAGGACACGGAGCTTCAGCAGTTGCGCAAACAGTTGCAGTCCGTCCAGGAGCAACTGCAGCAGGAGAAGAAGCGGAAGGCCAGCACGATGGACGTCGATGATAAGCACGAGGAAGCGACCGATCCTCAGAAGGAGCGGCACGCAGCAATCGACGGCCTGCTGGACTCCATCAAGGACGACAAGTCACAGTTTGCAGGCCCGTATCGTGATGGGCTACAGCAGGAGAAGGATGCCAGCTTACGCGCCAAGCAGCCCATCACTGTGCAGCTTTCGGGGCTCAATGACAAGCTGGCCAGGACGAAGACGAAGATTCAGAAGGCAGAGAAGTTGGTGGAGGCCAAGCGCGCTCAGCTTGCTGAGATCCAGGCCTCGATCGACAGGGGGTGCGCGCAGATCGAGCAGCTGCGGCAACAGGAGATCGAGGTGGAGCAGAAGATTCGCGAGGTGGGCATGGCCACTTCGCAGCCGCCAAAGCGGCCAGGAGAGCCTAGCCAGCTGGGCGAGGTCAAAGTCGAGCTCGCGGACCTGCAGGACATGGTTCGCTCGGCGGGCGGCGGCGCCCTGGCTGAAACGCTGCCGCAGCTACTGCAGGCGAAGCTCACCGAGATGGTCAGCGCCAAGCGTGCGCGCCTTGCCGAGGGAAGTGGAGCTGACCCAGGCCGCCCCAGTGAAGGGGGCGCCCCTGAGTCGACCAAGCCCATCGAGGAAGTCAAGAGTTACCTCGCGGCAGTGGGGCACTAACTACTTGAGAATGAGGACGAGGCCAGGAGGTTGGCCCAGAGAGTGCGGACAGCGACGTTGCAGTTCTCTCCGTACTAACGTGTGCAGCAATCGCAGATGGTTGACGCATATCCTTGCTATCATGATGACGATGATGGTACCTTGCTCTTCTTCTCCTTCGTCGGCCATGCGCGCAGAGGCCGATCCGTTTGCCCCTCGCAGCTTGATGGACGACAATGACGTAGACCCTACCGCGTTTGATGTCTACCACGGCAGCGGCTTCCAGGCTTGGGGGGCTGATGGCGAAGAGGGTCCATATATCTCAGACCATGGGGGCTCGCTGCGGCGGAGATGGTCGCATCCCAGAGGTCGGGATCGGCTTTGATCATCGTGGGCAAGGGCCTGCTGCAGCGGCTGGTCTCGCAGCAATGGACGGGATCGTCGCGGATAATCGTGTGCACGGGCAAGTGGTGGCTGCTGTTCTGCGCGGGCCCTCGCCTGCGCAGAGGCCTCGGGCCGATGCTGCTCGATCAAGCTCGGCGTCAGGACGCGGGTCGACGTGCTCTGCGAGGGGGGCCGTGTCAGCTGAGAAGCGTGATGAGGTAAAGGGCTACTTCTCCACTGTCAGCGCTACGTCGCGCGGGCCGCTGCGTGATTACCTTGGCGGCAAGCCCGGGCAAGCGGCACTGGGAGTTCAGGAGCACCGCGCCACGACGGACAACCTCGATCGAGCGCAGTCGAGGTTACACGATGCGGGGTATCACGGCACGCGGGCTCCAGCGATTGCAACGGGCAAAGGCAGCGGCACGCCCGCTGGAGCGGCTGTGTTGGCCAAGAGCCACGTCTCTCTCTCACCTGCCCTCCTGCGACGTCGACCTCATCGCTGGAGGCAGGTGGGGTTGTCGCTGCCCATGTCCACTGGGGAGTGAAGCGGGGCGTAGTCTTTCTCTCAGTATACCTTTGGCCTAGCGAAGGACATGGCCCAGCCGACGACGAGACGCTGAGCACGGTGCTGCAGTATATTCACATGCTAAGCTGTTTGTGCATGGGCTGGGTTGTGCTGGGAGATTTCAACATGACGGTGGAGGAGTTGGGCCTGGGTTGGATCCATGCCCTTCGCGGGGTAGCAATTGCGACTACTGCCGCTACCTGCCGCCAGGGAGATGGTTCTATCATTGACTACGCGCTGGTGGCGGCCAACCTGGTCACGAAGGTTGGCACGCCCACGGTAGATGAGGAGGCGCTCGCGTCGTCTCGCAGGCCTGTCGTCTACCCGCTGAGGATGATCGGGGCGCCCACGTGGCGCCGTGTGCCCGACGAACCGTCGCCGATCGGAGCGGCGCCGCCAACTGGCTGTGCCAGACCGCCTCGGGACTGGGAGCGAGTCCAGGAGCTTGCCCAGATCGCTAGCGGCCAGGCCGACTTACAGATAGCGTGGGGCGCCGTCCTAACGGAGACGGAGAATGAGCTGCTCGATCGGTGGGATGTTACGGGTAAGGAGCGTCTACGACGGAGTGGGGGAGGAGGCGCTGTTCGCACGAAGTGGGTGGCCCGCCAGTGGGGGCCGCCCGCGGTCAGGCTGCAGCAAGGCGCCGCGGCGCGCGCGCGGGGTGCCGCGGCCAGGTGGGCGCAGCACCTCATCGCCTCGCGCGAGCAGATGCAGACCAGGATCCAGAGGCCGCAGGCGGCAAATGCACTGTGCACGAGCCCTGCCCAGTTTGAGGATTTTTTTCTTCTTATTCTTCCTCTCTTCTTTTCTTCTTTTTGTCATCGAGCTTCGGGCGTTCGTTCAACGAATACCGCGGAAGCCAGACACGCTGAAGCGCTTGCCTGACTGGGTCGTGACGTACTTCTCGCACGGCCTCGAGGTCTTCAACTTGGATGTCTTTGAGCCGCAGGCGCTGGCGATTCAGGATGCTGCCAAGATCCACCTGCAACAGGACCAGAGCGTTCGGAATGCCAAGTGGAACGATTGGGCGCACCAAGCGTTCATTGGCAGTGGCACTGGCCAGGCGCATCGAGCGACGAAGTGCAGGCGCCGACGTGATTGGGGAGCCGCGCGTGTTGGTGGAGCGCGAGTTGACGGCCTGGAAGGAAGTGTGGAGCTCTCACGAGCTGGACCCACTAACCTTGCCGACGGATGCTGTGCGTTGGGCCGCGTTGCCGCCGCTATCAGGACATCAGCTGCGGCGCGCCTGCCTCTCCTTCCCCACGCGCGCTGCGTCGGGGCCTAGTCGCATCGCGCCACGGGCGCTCGCGCAGGTCTCAGATGCAGGGCCCGCGGCCATCGCGGACTTATTCAACAGGTGTGAGGATAATCTCGCATGGCCAGACGATCGGATCATCAACGAGCTGGTTCGGTTACCGAAGGGGGACGGCAATGGGCGCCGACCCATTGCGCTGGTGCAGACGTTGGTACGGCTGTGGCCCAAGGCGCGTTCCCCCCTCTCCAAAGCGTGGCTGAAGCAGGCGAGCATCCCTGACATCTGGGGCTGTGGCGGCCCTGGCAGATCTTTAAGCCATTCGGCTTTTGCTCGCAACCTGGAGGCTGAGGTGGCCAAGCTGCTGGGAGAGACGAGTGTGGCGGCAATTCTGGACGCGTACAAATGTTTCGAGTGCGTGAACCCTCGCGCTTTCTCGAGGAAGGACGGGTGAGCGGATATCCCATGCGATTGTTGTGGATGCTGCTACAATCTCACAAGCAACCAAGGGTGATCAAAGCATGCGATTCCTGGTCCACGCAGTTTGCGACGACGCAGGGGATATTGGCGGGGTGCTCTCATTCCTCGATATTGCTGACGCTCCTCACCAGCAGAATTATGAGACGTCTGAGTGGATTTGGCTCTATTCCACGGGCACTGGTGGACGATCTGACATTGCAGTGGGCGGGCGCCAACACTAAGATGTTGCACTTCTTGTTCGAGGCCGTGAAGAAATTCATCGTGCTGGCCAGGCCCCTTGGGCTCATTCTCCAGGTGGAGAA